GTTTTGTTGATTATTTTTGAGGTGTGCCTCGTTAAAACCTTCCTTGGCCAAAAACCCTTTTCTTTAGTGGGAAAAAAGGATGAGGAGGAAAAAGAGTACGTCACCTGAATTTACAAGTTAAGAGAAATAAAATTTGAGGTGGGTGACATTCCAAGTTCCGAATTTCCCTTCAGAGGGGTCTATTCTTGCCTCTCTCACCCCACCAAACAAAGTCGCCAACTTTAAATGTTTGTGGCCTGACCTTGGTCTTGCTTTCCTTGTGGTTTGTTGCGAACCTGGTCACGAAAAGTAGAGTGTTCTTCCATCTGTATGTACCCGGCAGCTCGGGCACGGAGTTCGTCCATATCAGCGGGAGCTCGGCGACATAGGTTGTCCACAAAAGGTCCCGGCTTGAGTGCCATGAGCATGGCGTGTAGGGCGACCTCGAGAGTTGCGAATCTTCACCAAGATGCCAGCAAAACGTTCCATGAATGTCTGTAGTGGTTCGTCGTCGCCCTGTCTGAGGCTGGCCAGAGCAGCCGACATTACGAGGTGAGGTCGACTCGTTGCATACTGCGCCGTGAATCGTGTAACCAGAGTACCGAAGCTGTCAATTGACTCGGCAGGTAGCTGGGTATACCAGTTGAGTGAGGCCCCTTTGAGCGAGGTCGGGAAAACCCTATACAAGATAGCATCATTGTTAGTGTAGAGGTTTACCTGGGTCATATACAGGTCAATATGTTCATCGGGGTCCGTCGTGCCATCATAGCGATCAAGGTGGAGAGGCTTCCATCTGCGGGGGAGTGGAGTCTCCATGATGCCATCCACAAAAGGATGATGGCGGAAAGTTTCTTGACCCTCTGTGACATGAGTGGGGGCCCTGCTGACATCTTGAGTCGACTTGTGTGTCGGTGCATGAGACTGATGCGTGGCAGGTCGTGGAGTCGGTGCTCTCGTCGCAGTTCGGGGGTTAGAAAGTGAATGCCCTTCGTACTCATTCAGGTTACTCTGTAGAGGGGGTTGATCTGAGGGACGCCGCGGGAGTTGGGCACGAATGCGCTCGTTCTCGGCGCGTAGTGCCGCTAGGTCGGCTTCATTAGCGGTGCGCATTGCCGCTAGATCAATTTCGTGCTCGGCACGCATGCTTTGTAGGTCGACGGCGTGTTGTTGCCGCATCTGTTCGACCTGGTCGATCAGCCTCCTCAACGTTGCTGCGTCACTATCCATGGTAGTTGAGTGATCCAGGTCGTTTGTTGCGCGTCTGCTGTGGCTTCTGGTGAAAACCATACAGGTGGCCGATAAGAGCTGTCTTGATCGGCCCCACGGTGGGCGCCAAATGTTCTTACCGGAAATCTGCTGTAGAGCTGATCCGCCAGGTAAGATCGGTGAGCCTCCTTCACGGGTACGCTGGTGCTCCAAGATGGGGGTGGTACCTGCAAAAGAGACTCCGATGCTCAAGTTAGTGTTTGTGGGAGTATGAGTCTCGTATAAATAATGCACGTACCTTTGTGTGAATTAGGGTTGTGTTGGGCCTTGGGCCTGAGATTTGTTATGATCTGATTAGATAGTAGATCTCGTCTGGAGTGAGATCCCCGAGATCAGTTATGATCTGATTAGATTGCGGATCTCATCTTGAGCGAGATCTCCGAGATCAGTTGTGATCTGATTAGATTGCGGATCTCATCTTGAGCGAGATCTCCGAGATCAGTTATGATCTGATTAGATTGCGGAACTCGCTTAGGCCGAGATCTCCTAGTGCATGCCCGAGGTTATTCCACGCTGTGATACCGAGCTCGAGCTCAGCATGGCAGTACGGATAGTACAATTAGAAAAATATATTTTTTAAAATCCTTTGAAATTCTAATTCAATACACTCATAAAATAAGAATTAAGTTTTGTAAATTTTATTATTGAAGTATCATGATATGGATGACATAGTGTAAAATCTATTTTTTTTATAAGAATTCTTATAAAAATTATCTTTATTATTCTCACTTAAATAAAAATAAAAAATAAAATATATTTTAATCTCAAAATATTTAAAAACATTAATTTTAGTTCCTATAAAAATTTAATACGTTGTTAGTCCCAAATTTAACCAAAACACACATTTTTAATATTTAATGAGAGGTTAAAAAATCACACACACACACACACACACACACA